TAAACTTTTTTTTTTTCTTCTTCAAGTAAGGCTTGGTGTACACTGTTGCGTGTTTATGCCATGCAGTGCCATTTACATTAAAAGGGAACTATAGCCAAACCTTTTTTGGCCGCAGTTCTTTTTGGTCACATGAGGACATTTACTGATATACTCTAGTGACACAAAGACATCATATAGCAGGTTTACTGCCTGCTATATGCTGAGAACGCAGAGCCGCCCTGCAGCCAGTAGAGATCCTGACAATATTGTTGGGATATACCTCGCTGCCTGATTGACACCTGGCTCTCTAAAGCCAAAGCCAGCTGTACCCGCCCCCTCCCTTGTCTGCCCCTCAATGACCACTGGAGGAAGAGATGGGAAGGGTGAATCCCTGCGGGAAGGGGGGGGGGTGGGGTATCTCTGACTGACCGTCACCAATGTCTGTGGGGAGAAGCTGTGAGCTGAACGATCAGCAGTTTGTGATCCCTTGGCTCCCCAGCTATAGAGCTGGCATGTGAGTGCTGCAGTGTCACACGCCCGCTCAAACTGTTGGGAAAAGTTCCTTTTATTTCTCGCCCAATAGTTCTCCTTTTTATTGGCACCACAACCTTACCAGTTTACCCATGTTCTAGCGCATCACAAGGCACAGTAATGCACTACAGTGTGTGTAATGCAGTGCACCACCAAACAATCGTGCATGCACCTATTGGGGCATTAAGCAGCCCATTAAAATTAAACGGGCTGTCTTAACACAACAAATGTTAACACCGTGCAACAGTTTAAACCCAGCCCTAATCTGTTTCAAGCCAGCACTTAATATATAAAAGTAAATCTTTTATATAACCCCAATTCCAAAAAAAAGTTGGGAAGCTGTGTAAAATCTACAAATAACAGAATGCAATGATTTGCACATCTCATAAACCCATATTTTATTCTCACTAGAAAACATATCAAATCTTTAAACTGAGAAAATGTACCATTTTAACCACTTGCTGACTGTCGCGTTTCTTACATTTGCGCACACATGATAAAATCTGAATTTTTGCCTAGAAAACAGGATCAGACCCCAAAACAATGATATATTTTCTGAAATCAGAGGCCCCGTAAAATAAAAAGATGCTAGTTGCAAGTTTTTATGTTACATGGTATTTGCGCAAATGTTTATCAAACCAGTATTTTTAAGATGAAATGCACTAAAATGAAATTTAGTGCACGGAAACAGAATATAATGGCTATTTTTTTGGGTAGAATATGAAAGATGGGGTCATACCGGGTAAATGCATACCAAAAATGTCAAGACTTAAAAATTGTGTGCGTCTGTGAAACCACAAACCAATATAATACCCAACATTTCCCATAGGGGATGCTTTAAACACTTTTATTGCTTATTAATTTAGTAGTCTTTCTCCAAAGCAAGAACCCGATTTTTCTTCCCCCTCCCTCCAATACTGGGCATCTCATCTATAATCAAGATCTTTAAATTGCTGTCAGAATGGCCCCTTTTCATAAAATGTTTAGAGACCGGTAAATTTGGTTGTCTTTGTGTAATCTTGTCCTGTCCTAAACTGTTTGCATGATTTCTCTTGCGTAGATCAGATTGCTAGAACAGGTTAGTACATAAATGATCTAAAAAAAAACAGCCTGGCATGTAAACAGGTTTCGGCTACTGCTGACAGATCTCTTTCCCAATTTCCCAGTAAAAATCATGTAATGAAAGAGAAGGTGGGATTGTAGCGCTGGCAGTATGTGACTAAGTTGTGTAACAATGCTGGCCTCATTACAAAAAATGTTCTAACTTCTCTATCTTGTATTTACTCTTGGCTGCTATTATTGATCACTGTAGTCCCTGCCAAGATTAGGTCAAATGGCTTTTTCACCAAATGATAGTGGGGTAGATGTGGACCTTGGTGGTTACTTGCTAAAGAAATGCAGTTTTCATTTAGCAAAGTACACTTTGGAAAATTTAATGTTCACTTAACTTGGTGAATAAGGTGAAGCTGTGTTGACTTCAATCATCCATCACATGCAAGCAAAAATCCTGCATAGGCATGACTAGTCAGAGTACAGACTGGGTTGGTTGCTGGAGTGTACAGGAAGAAAGGGGTAAAACCTTTGAAAAGACAGCATCTGCCACCACCTTCGCCACCACCTTTTCAGTGTTCTGTAGTGACATTGAACATTAACATAGTAGTTTTAATTCCATGCACTTTTACATTTTTAAAGACCAGACAGAGCAGTGATATTCTCCTACCTGAAAAGCACACAGTTTTGATGGAACTGTGGGATCCCAGACTTCAAATCACTGGAGCCTTGTTGACATCTAGACGTGTGCGCCGGCAAAAAATTAGTTTCATTTAGTTTTTTATTCAGATTTTTTTGCCTTTTCGATTCGGGCAAATTCAGAATGTTCATTTCACGGTAGTATGTACAAATTTACGATATGAATGAATTTTCATTGCAGCAGTGACATTTGACAAAAGAGAAGAAACATGAGGTCTCATTCTCTCCCCCCCCCCTCAATTGATACCGGACACTAGGCCTGGTAGGAATGTTACGAGGGACCCCCCAAGCAACAAAAAAAGTGCGTGGGGGTTTCCCCTAAAATTACTACCAGACCCTTGATTTCGAGCATAGGCCAGGCAGGGAAAGGAGGTAATCGAGCACCCCCCTCCCTGCGTCATATCAAGGGAGGGTGTCCCCTTGCCTATGGGGATAATAGCCTTTTCCGCACAACCCTAACCCGGTGGTTGTAGGGGTCTTGGGGCCAGGGGGGGCTTTTTTGCATTGGGTACACCCAGATGCCACTGCCCCCCCCTTTTGAATGAGTATTTATTACAGGTATTTATATAGCGCCGACAATTTATGCAGCACTTTACATAGTTGCACATTCACATCAGTCCCTACCCTCAAGGAGCTTACAATCTAAGGTCCCTATCTCACATGCATACATAGAGGGCCAACTTAGACAGGAGCCAATTAACCTTCCAGCATGTCTTTGGAGTGTGGGAGGAAACTGGAGTACCTGGAGGAAACCCACGCAAAGCATCGGGAGAACATGCAAACTCCTTGCAGATAGTGACCTGGCCGGGATTCGAACCAGGGACTCCCAGTGCTAACCACTACGCCACTGTGGGGTACTTGTACCCCTACTCATTCACTAACTGGGTTAAAGGTAAAAGTAAATAAACACCTCACACCTAAAGTCCTTTTAATTGAGAAAAAAAAAAATTGATCTATCGATGTAATCCATTATGATGAACGACGCCCGCCGATTCACCAAAAAAAAAAAAAAAAGTCCCGTTGCATGCTGACTTGTCCGAACACGTCACAATGTCAGCTCTGGACAGAAAGTAAACGGTTGGAGTGAGCCATGATGTCATAGGGAACGTTCCACGGGACATTTTATTTCGGCGAGTTAAGGTGCCCATACACCTTACAACCATCGCAAGACTTTTTGTCTTGCGATGGTCGTAAGCTAATTAAAAGCTCGTACGATCTGCCAATCATGGACAGGCAGATCGTACTTGCGACCATCGAAAGCCCGCCCCGCTCAGGGGCGGGCTTCCGATGACCGCAATGCTGAACGGGCAGTGTGCGCACACGGGCCCGTTCCGCAGTTGTCGAACGAGCACGCCACTAACCCGCCGACAATCGTACGATTCTCGGTGGATTTTCTAGCATGCTCGTTCGATAAAAGACGTGCGACCGTACAGTAGAAACGGTTGCACGCCTTCCATACACCTTGCGATTATTGTACGATCGTGGGATTTCCCGCGATTTATCTTATGATAATCGAAAGGTGTATGGGCACCTTTTAGTGAGCGATGTTCATCGATTGACGCTGGATTACATTTGATGGATTTTTTTTTTTTTTTAATAAAGGACTTTTCAATGTGTGGTTTCTTTATTTCTAACCGTTTTTCTAACCGTTTTAAGTGAATGAGTAGGGGTACAAGTACCTCTTACTCATTCAAAGGGGGGGTGGCAGCATCTGGGAGCCCCTAAATAAAGGGGTACCCTGATGCAAATAAGCCCCCCTGCCCGCAGACCCCCACAACTACTGGGTCAGGGTTGTGGGGAAGAGGCCCTGACATTCCTACCAGACCTAAAGCCAGGAAATGCACACCCCTACGGACCTGCACTTGAGCTGGGCGTATGGCCGCATAGTCCCATAGAGAAGGACGGGGGCTGTGTACTAATCACATGCAGCACCTGTCCTTCCCGGGAGCTGCACGGAGTTGTACGTGTGGGCCGATTCCAGTGTGTATGATGCCTAATGCTTTACACAATAAAACTTCATTCGGGGCAGAAATTCGGATGCATCCAAAATTTTCGTTACTTCTGTCATTCAGAAATTCGGATGTATCCAAATGTACGAATTTCTGAAAATACGTCTGAAAAACAAATCTTTCCAAAACAAATTGCACATGTCTAATTGATGTCCGTTTTTAGCTTCTTGACCAGAAAGATGAATATGCAGATTCCCACTTTTTCTTCTCTCCAAGCCCTTCCAAATGGAGGAGAGAGATGATGGGCAGGAGACGGGACTGAGAGCTGGCTGAGGACAGGATAGTGGAGGTAGCGTAGGAGAATTTGCAAGGATGAGGTTCTTTTGGGCGAAGATCAGAAAGAAATAAAAGTGGTCACTTTCCCTCTAATTGCTGACTTTGTATAGAAGATGCTACAGATATAAATACAGTTTGTCTTCACTACATTACAGTAAATGGCCTTTGTAACTTCAACATGGTAGCATTGCTTCATAGAAAACCATAAGTTACTTGGTGAATTAAATCCCTTGTCATCTGGCATTGCTCTATAAAGTGGTGAAAATTACTTCTCCAGCAAGGTAAATTGGCTCTACATACTGTACACTGGACAGATTAAGGTTTATGACAAAAGCTGCTTATGTAGTTCACACGTGTATAGTTGATGACCATTCTTCATTTCAATTCTAAAAATCTGAAATGATCACGTTTTTGTCTATAAATGCTAGAAACATGGTATGGTTTCTCTTATTGCAGGTACACTCGGAATCTGGTGGATGAAGGGAATGGAAAGTTTAATTTGATGATTCTTTGCTGGGGTGAAGGACATGGCAGGTAAAAAACAATAATCCTTTATCTTCAATTATTAGTAAGGACTCTCTGCTGAAACTCCACCATCTTAAAGCATAGTATATCTAAAGGTGCCCATACACCTGACGATTTATCGTACGATAATCGCGGGTGACCGCGATCATACGATAATCGGCAGGTTTATGGGCAGCGTGCGACCGCATCTACTGCACGGTCGCACGACTTTCGTCTTCCGAGCACGCTGGAAAACCTGCCGAAAATCCTACGATTGATCCCCCTAAGCGAGGAGGGCTTGTGATGATCGCAAGTACGATCTGCCTGTCCAAGATGGGCAGGTCGTACGAAATTTTAATGACCTTACAACCATCGCACAATGAAAGTCGTGCGATGGTTGTAAGGTCCCAAAGTTTTTATGTTTTTTTTTTTTTGTTTCTTAGGAGAGATTTTTCTTTCCTCACTCGGTTTCTAGAAACCCAACAGGAAGTGGAAATCTCTTCAAAGTGTGGGAAGCCTTTTGTTAGACAGTTTACATTGGAACAGATGCCCCTTTTTAGAAGATTTGCCCCTATTCCTGTTCTAGTGACAACTTAAAATTTTAGATTTCTTTTTTTTTTTGGTTCACTTTCAGTACTGATGACCATAGTCACCTGGTCAAATCAGAAGGGTGAATCTCAGAGCAGCAATAAGAACCTTCCAGAGGTTCTTATTTATAACTACTCCTAACTTATTTTTTATGTTGCGTTGTTCAGAAGATCCACTCTGACATTGACCTCTACAGATTATTTTTTCAGTAATCTTTACATATAGATTTTTTTTGTCAGACTGATATATATTTCCCTCGAGCTGTTCTAGACTTTTGTCTTATGTACAAACTCTGATTATGTGCATTCTTTCACGTATGCTGTGTGTAACTGTTCAAGCAAGGTAGCTGAGCAAATGTTCTGTTCATGTTCTAGTTGTCAGATATTGCTCCACTAAGTCCAGAAACTATGCAAGCTATAATTTCAGATGTTTTGTCTTCAAGTCTCTTTCATAACAAGTCACATTTGTCACTTGACCATCAAGGGGCTGGGATCAATGTGTTTCCATGTGATGGTAAAGATGCTGTGTAACTGCTTCTAACCATACTATACTATTGGTGTAGGGTAGTTATTCTCAGCCGGCTGCTTTCTCCCCAACCTGCTAGTTGCTTTGGGGAAAACACTTCACAGTAGGGATGTTCAGAAACAAAGTACAGACACTTTTCCAGCTCGACTAGAGAAAATCTCAAAAGTTAGGCGGCAGCTGTCATTTTTAAGGAGCTTACGGAGCTCCTGAGATTTGTGCATTCCTGTTTTCTTAATGTATGATTTACATTAAGAAACCAAGAAAGTAATATATAAAATGTATATTTTATTACAGTATTACCAAATGCATCAACTGCATAAATTTTTAAGTTCCAATTTACCACACAGCTGAAAGTAACAGGTGCCTCTTTGATACACAATTTTAAGCTATTTTCCCATTTCCGCAATGCAGCAGTATACACGATCACACCAACTCGCACTGCTTCTTGAAGATTCTGCAGGGCAACCTGAAGGAGACAATGTATGAGTGGCCACAGAAAAAAACAAATGGAGCAATGGTGAAAAAATCTGAAGGGGTGCTCAAGGTGAATCAGTGTGCATATATTAATGGTAAGTTATATATACTGTTACTGTAATAGAAAAAGACTTGGTACTTCTCCATTTGGGGGTTACTAGAAGGTTTTAGTAAGCAGGTGATCAAATCCAGAAAGTGATGCATGCTAGGGGTGAGGGAATAGCTTCACAAACCAATTGAGTTATTATCCGAATGTTATTTGAATGTAACTGGCTTTGTGTGAACTGTGGAGAATGCTACAGAACACGAGTCATGATTGCTTTGATTCCTGTTTTGTGATTTACTGCAGATCAGGCAAATCTACATTGAAAATCTTATGGCAAATCAAAGACGTGACTGATTTTTACCCTGGTCCACTTATGACGCTACTGTAGTTTTTGATAAATGTTTTTTACAAGGTGTAATATAAAGAAATACATAGATAATATTTATATGTGAACCTAGGGTGGTCATCCTGGTTCCACTGGTTGGTGTGACAAACATGCAGTCAGGTTGTTGGTTCCTTTTGGTAGTCAAGCCACAAACGTTTTTTTTTTTTTTTTTTTATAGGGGCG